AAAATAAGTAGAATTGTCCTAGGAGATGCCAAATGAGTCAGATGTAACATGTGATCAGAAAATTCAAAAATGAAATAAACAACCGCAACATCTCCTGTCACAATGTCCCTAACGCCTCCACCTCATGAAAAGATCTATACATTTCTTTATCGTAGACGGGGCAAATTATAAATGGTCATGACGGTGTCAATGAGTTAATGTCGGTGAACCCGAGGAGGAACGTAATAAATAGTTGACCCAACCCTACACTTAAAAATGGGTCACAGATTATTCGTCCGGAACAAGCCTATTATCCATTATGAAGATGTCTCTTGTGCATGTCCCGATTTAATTGGCTAATAATTTAAGATTTTTAAATTTAAAGTTTATATGAAGTTAGTATTTTTTTGTTTTATTTTTAAAAAATTAAAAGAAAAAAAATAATCTAATTTATACTTTAAAAATCAAATATTTTAGTTTTTTTCAATAAGTGTTTATTAAAATGGTGTAGTTATAAAATAATATTTTTTTAAAATTTTTATAAAATAAAGTGGATAAGTATTATTCTCAACTTGTATATATATTGTTAATTTTGGTTGTACTAATCATCTTTCATTTCTTATTCTACCTCACCCACATATCATGCTATTGGAATTTAAAACTTAAAACTTTTTACTTTCAATGGAATGAAATAATTATTGAATTATTTAGATTATTGATTTAAATTTTATATTTTGAATTAATTGAGTAGAAATTTAGAGAAATTAATGGATTAATTTTTCTTAGTCCATCACTTAAAGTAAATATATACAAATTATACCACTTGATCTATGATTTATGTTTTATAAGTTAGATTACTAGGCTCATGGTTCATGTATTCGTGGCATATAGGTGAATCATATTCCAAGCTTTTTTTCCCAATGTTAAAAAGGGGAGCAAATTAAATGTAAGAGAACTTAAAATGTTTTTCAAGAGACTACGAGAAGATTCAAGCTCTCATCCATCCAGATCTAATACCTAAGTTTACTGTAATGGAGTAGAATAGATCCACCCTTACCAAGTGAAAACATGTTGCAGGGTTAATGAGCAAACATCTTATTGCCATATTATTTGAAAAAATATCTCAATCAGAAAAACTTTAAAAACTTTTACAAAATTTTTGAGTATAGAGATGAGAAATTTGAAAAAAAGAAATAGATATAGATCCACTCTGACAATGGAAAAAAAAAAACAAAAAACAAAAATCATGTAATTATAATATTAAAATACATTGTAAAATTACAATTATAACACACCATTATATAATTTTTATTTTACAACTAAACTAAAAAATTAATTATAATATTATATGTATTAGCACAATACATCATATATAATTTTTTAAATTTGAAGCTTACGTTACATTAATTATATTATTTACCAAAAGAAAAAGGTTGTCTCTCCCCTATTTTCAGCTTCCAGTCTTGAAGTTAAAGTTTCCTCGGAAACCCTCCTAGAGCAAGAATACAAGATCCTTTAGTAGCCTTTCGGTGCTTAAATTCAACAGCTTTTAGGCTTTCATTCTCGTTATTCTTCTTTTCCCTTTTTTCCTGCTATCATATCTGGAGCCATGGAATAAGTTGTATCTACATCACTCTTCTTCAAATAATCTGTATCTCTGCACCGCAGATGTTCTTCCCATCCACAAAAACGAAAAGGCTAATGCTGCTCTCTGCTGACTTTCGTCTCCCCATGACTTCATTCACTTCATTTCTTCAAATCTTCTCATCTTAATCGCTCTCTGCCATGGCAGTTGAAGTTTGCTCCCCGCGAATCTCTTTCTCTCACGATCTCAACAAAACAGAAGAAACCCATCACCAACAGAGATTAGATTCGTCCCTCTTGGATTCTGCTTCCGATTTCAATTTCTGCATTGCAGATGGATTTGCCCAGGAATTGTCCTCAGCCGATGAACTCTTTCTTAACGGTAAGATTCTTCCCATCCAAATCAAGAAACCATCACCCACAACCAAAAAAACCCATCATTCCAATCCTGTTATAACTCCTTCTCCTCCCCTGAAAATCATCCGTCAGGATAGCACAGAGAAGAAGAGACTAAAAGAATTCTTATCAATGAGTCTCGACGCCGACGACAAGCCACCGCCGCCGTCCATATCCTTCTGGCAGTTCAAGAGAAGCAGCAGCCTAAACTGCGACAGCAGTCGAAGTAAAGGCCTAATCCGATCACTTCTGTCACGAAGCAATTCAACCGGTTCGGCCCCGAATCCAAAACGAACGACGATTTTAAAGGAAACCCAGAAACAGACTCTGCAAAAGCAGCCGTCTCTTTCAAGAAAATCATCCGTTTCAAGTTCTAGTTCATACTATGTTTACAGCAGTTCAACGCAGAAGCCTCCATCGAAGTATGGCAATGGAGTTCGAGTTAGTCCAGTTTTGAATCTTCCACATCCGTTCATTTCCAACGCAAATGTGAGTTTTTTTGGATTCGGTTCAATCTTCTGCAGCGGTAAGGTTAAAAAGAAGAAGAGATGATGAATTATTTTTGTTATATGATTGAGTTTGAATGAGACAAGTACAGTGGGGTTTAGCTGTACATGAATTTGCACGTGATTAATGTCTGTGTGTTAATCACTAATCAACTAGTAATATTTGCATAGTTAAGAGAGATTTGTAAACTTAAATAAGTGAATATATTAGCTTTTAAAGGGTTCTAGTCTAGAGTCTAGACTCGTGCTAATGTAAGGGGTGTGTCTTTAATATGGTTTTGAAGATAAATTAGTTTTGAGGCATAGAATATTGGTGCGAGACTCCATTGTGCAAGGCAATAATAATAATAATAATAATAATAATAATAATAATAATAATGATGAAATGGATGTTGTGAAAATGAATGGGGTAGAAGTACAGCGATTGGGTGGTCTTCCATGCATATTATAATGTAGTTGGCTTAGGGGACAGATAAACATGGCATCTCTTTTTTATGGCTATTCATGCATTCTTTCCTCTCTTGTTTATATATATATATTGTAGAAAAATATGATATTTTAGTATTAAACTATCAAGATATTTAATTATAATCATAAAATAAATAAAATATAATGTAAATTTTATTTAAATATTATATATCATGTGGTTATAATTAAAATTTGACATTTTTAATATTAAAAAAATCATAATTTTCACTTTTTTATATATTTATTTGTAATTTTTTCCCGAAGAATTTTGATTGAAGCTTCTTTGATTTTTTTTTTTTCAAAAGAAAAAAAATGATCTGGCAATTCCCATTTTATTGAGTCCTTTTTGTTTTGTCTTGATTTTAAGACATAACCATTTTTAATCAAATGGGTTCTGAAAGAAAGGAGCTGAAGATCTATGGCGGGGCATAGTTTAGTTTTAAATTTGATTCTTTTGGATCTGAAGTGTCTGGTTGGATGGAAAAGAGTTTTCAAATAATTAGAGACAGCAAAAGGAGATCGAGAACGAGTGAAGCTGTTTCTGATATAGATAGGGTTACATTCTTGCATTTGAAGTCAAGTATCTATTGATTTTTCAAAGATTTTGGGATACATTTCTTAGATATTCAATGTAAATTGGTCCAGTTAGTAACGATCGAAACACTCACTTGGGTGTTTCAATTTGACTTTAGTAGTCCCTCATTGATTCAAATTATTACATTACTAATATAATTCATAATTGGGATGATGATATTTCATGAATTTTGATGTGATAAACTCCCATTATTCCAGAATTTTTCTTAAAATAAATATATATATTTATATATATATTAAGGGAAAATGAAGTTTTCATTAACATTTTAAGTATTGATTGTGAATCTGTGATTGGTATGCAATTTAGGAAGAATAAGGTTAAAAACAAGAAATGCTCCTAAATACAGCCCATTCTTTCTTTTGGGAAAAAAGTAGCTAGTAATCCCAAATCCATCGCTTTGGATTTCTATGGATTTGGGATTACAAATTGTAAAGTTTGATTCAAATTTGAATAATAACTTTGCCATTGCACCTTACTATCAGAAGCTAAGGTGCATTCAAATTATGAAACTAGAACTTCAACATCATATATATCATATTAAGATCACATGTAGAAAAAAGTTATTAGGCTCAAATTTGGTTCCAAATTCAGATTGGGTTGGAATTCAGCTCATTTAACAAAAGTAAAGCTCAAAACTCGAATTCTCAGTTCTGCTAATTATTAATAGATTCATCTTCTTCCAATGCTCTTGCTCTGGACTTTTGACTACGCAAAAAGCTAAATGTTTTTAATTTACTGAGTGAGGGATGTTTTTAATTTACTGAGTGAGGGGCTCAATGACAAAACGACGATAAGAAAAAATGGAAATTCTAGAAGGTATGAAATGATAATTTTAGGAAATATATATGCACGCAAATAACATCAGCCGACCTTAGCTCAGTTGGTAGAGCGGAGGACTGTAGTTGTTGAAGCTGTCATCCTTAGGTCGCTGGTTCGAATCCGGCAGGTCGGAATTTTTTATGCTTTCTCTTTTTTTGAATTGAAAACGCAGTGCATACCTTTTTAAAATTACTAATGAAGGTGAACTTTTAAATTCCTAAACCAATTGACTTGAAATAATCAAAATTTTGGTGTACACCAAGCAACCAAGCTAAAGAATCATTTACCAAAATCACATAATTAGTGGCGAAGCCAGGATTTTATCTTAAGGGGCCAACTGCAATATTATAAGAAAAATTAGATAATTAAACTTTATATTTCATTAATGAATATGTATAAGAAGATGTATTCTACTAAAAAATTTAACTTGTAAATGAGACTAAAACTCATGTTTATTAAATTTAAAATTATATATCTTCAATACATGAAAATTACTTGAAATTTATATCATTACTTAGTATCTAAATTGTAGTTTTAAATAAAATCATAATTACAAAATGTTAGCATACCAAATTCTAGTTATTTGTATGGTATAACCCTTAATTTGGGGGGGCAAAACAACACACATGGCATAAATCTTCAATAACCAAGTTGCATTATCGGAGTGCTGACAAATAAAAAGTAACATTATGATAGATATGTTCAGTAATAAAAAATATTCTAAAAAAATAAAATTTATATTATTTTATAAATATATAGGGCTATTTTGCATAAAAGAATAAAAATTTATCATTTTCTTGCAACTAAGTATACACATATTTAAAATAATTGTCAAAAAATTTTATATTTTTATTAAATTTCATCTTAAAAAATTAAAAAATAAAACATAAAATAAATTAAAAAAATTAACAAGAATTTGTAAAGACACAATACTAACAATTAAAGAATATCTATCTCTCTCATTCCCAGTTTCCGGACTTTGTACTTCCCTATCTCTACATCTTATCTTTTCTTTCCGTTGTGTAATCTCATCGACGAAATAAGGTGTCGTCGGGAATTACTTGAGTCACCTTCTCACGCATTACCTGAATGACCAATTCCACAGGAGAGGAAACTTCAAATATTTTGGAAGGAAATAGAAGCGAAGAAAAACATGGGGAAATTAAATTATTTTATTAGTATGAACTATGCCTATGAAGTTATAAACAGAGAACAAACACGGAAAGAAAACCTAGGACGGCGACCACACGCCTCTCCAATCTCAATCCAATTCCAACCTTATGAATTTCTATATCCAATGTTTCGAAATCCGGTTATTGTTTTTCTTTCTGCAAACAAATCATATTGAAGTGAGAAATACTAAAATCACATTAAATTACAACAAATATTTAATATTTAAAAGAGTTTTGCTAACCTATACGTAAAAAAAATAAAAAGTAAAATTTAATTTATCAATTAATATTAGTTTCTCAGCATTCAGTAATCATATTGAATTTTGTTTAATTTGGACTTTAGCTGCGTCGAACCTCATTAACGAAAAGCTTTCTTAAGACATGTTTTTTCATTCACAAGATTTAAATTTAAGATTTTATTTAAGAGAATCGTATTTTTTTCACTCTGACCAATATGTCGTTAGTTAATTGTTTAATTAAATTTATTTATATGATGTTGATACTAAAATGAATGTTTATTTTTATATTTTTTTATATAAATTTATTATAAAAATATATTTTAACATTTAGTACAAGTTAAAAAAATTTTATTTAAAATTTTTTACAAAAATTAAATTGTCTACTGGGCCGGATTATGGTTACAAAGCAAAGAATCTACCCCAAAATGGTCAAATAAGGAACATAGAGATGGGTTCGGAGTTCGGACCTTGAACTTGGGTTGGGTCAAGGGCAGTAAGTCAACCTACTGAGTCAAAAGAGTAGCCCCATTAATTAAACACCAACTTGTTCAAACAAACGAGGTGGCTATTAAGCCTAACGGTCAATAAGGTTTGGTTTAAGTACCATTTTGGTCCCTCAACTATCCACTTTGGTACCAAAATTGTCCCTCAGCTTTAAAAAGTACCAAAATTATCCTCAAACTTTCATTTT